GTTTTACACACCTCCTCCACCACCTCCGCCGCCTCCACCACCACCTAAAACGAAAACACAAAGAGTTTGTTTTGTTTTGCTTTTTTGTTTTTGCCCAAAACGGGACAATTAACACCACTGTTTTACGCCTCGAGCGCTTGGGATGGACTGGGCAAAACTCGAGTCAGGTGACATTGTTTTCTCTTGCCCGTCTTCTTGGCAGCGAGCTTTCTAAACGTAAACTAGAAATTTGCACGATTTTCCGTGAAATAGAGCGCTATGAAGGATAACGACGAATGCGGAACACTATTCTGTATGTACATTTATTCGTACTGATCAGTTTTTAGGATCCATAGTGACCACAGCTATTGCATACGTTTCATCTCCATTGCCTTTCATTTGCTGGGACATTTATCGTATAAAGTTTACTTTTTGTTTATTGCTTTAGGGATTCGCACTTTATTAAAAACTGGCAAAGTTGTGTTGGTAGCTAAATAATTCCATAACTGAAATCAGTGCTGAAACAATTATCTTCAAGCTTTAAGAGTTCAAGAAATGTTAGAAGTTATGATTACTTCAATCTGATCGTCACAAATAAAATCTGGACCTGTGTAATTCGAATATAAATATGATCGCTCACAATGAATACTGGAACAACTTTAACACAACAATGTAAATACAATGCCATCCAGTAACTTCACATGCCCCATTGGGCAATAAATGTTAATCGGTGCTCTTATTAAACTACCCTTAGACATCATGTTTATGTTTTGTGGCAAATCGCTAACTGTTATTGTTAGACAGCTTTATCCTGATAAAAGAAGACAAAAAGCACTCAAAATTATTTTTATCGATTTTTTTAAACTACCTCCTGACTTCTTCTGGTTGATCCATCCAATAAAACTGCTTATACGAGCGAACACTGTATAATGATCGGTTCTGCACTGGGAGTGTCCCCAGCTAACTGCACCCCGCAGAACAAATCGACCACCCTCATTGCAGACAAACGGTCCACCACTGTCTCCCTAATGCACATTTTAAGAAGAAACAAATGTGGTTGATATAAATCTTATACAGCGAGCTCGAGATTAAAAGCAGGGTAGTACATTGTATTCTGCCTCCAGGGAACCCTCTTCCTACTGTAGTTAGAAGGTTTCTAATTAGTTCAGTGTATTGTCTAAAAGAGGATGATAATTAACTCTTTAAAGTAATGGGATCATTTGCTTTAATCTAATACATCTTCGGAAAGTATCATCTGACATTTTCTTCTGAGGTTAAGCATTAATTCCTACGTCGTAACTTGTCTCTCTTCTTACATCGTTGTTGCTGTTTTTTAGTGGCGAAAGAGATCGACGAATTGAAAACCAAACAAAGAGAAGTGGCAAAATGTCCCAAAAAAGGTGAAAAGGAAATTCCAGATTAATACGATAGCCGATAATTAAGTTATTTTGAGTCTTACTGTGTACTTAACAAATTGAGTTCACTTAAAAACCGGGGCGAAAAGAATAAAGATACTTCCCCGTATTTTTTTTCGGCATGGGTCCATTTTTGGTTTATTTACCTGACATCCACCTTTGCCTTGACCTCCAGCGCACACCATGGACCTCTCGTCAACAGGAACTAATCTTCCGTTTACTCTGCTACAAGCACTGTGTTCAGCCACGGGTAGCACAGCCTGTTGGAGAGTGTCGGCGGCACTTCCACCTCCGACAGTCCTTCCCCAGCCTGAAACAGCATTATATTTATTCAAATGTCACGGGAAGTGCATTGCAGTACCAGAGAGTAAAAACAGAATATTGTTCTCAAGACCGATGTCATTTAAGCATAAGCGTGAAACCGTGAATTGTCTCAATACGGCTTATCACAGAGTGGTAGACTAGTGATTAATAAATCAGGGTCAATCAGCGATAACATAGAGGAATATCTGCACTGATGCATTTCACATACCTGTAATGTAACACCGTGTTCCCGCGGGAACCCTCCTTCCTGACCTCGGCAAGCACACCGTGTTCACTTTACTGCTTGCTTGTACTGGCCGCTCTAGTTGAAGAAGGGCGACGTCATTACGTAGGTTTCTCATGCTAAATTGTTCGTGTTTGAACAACTTTTTCAAGCGGAAGGTTTGCTGAACCGACGTTGATCCAAGCCGGCGATGG